GATTATGGATAATTCTCTCAAAATTTGATTGAACAATTCTTTACAATGGTAGTTGTTAATTTTTAAATTACTTAAACTTGTTGATAAAAAAATTGTTGTTGAAATGATTTATGAAACTACAAAAACAATCACTTTTTCAAATGATAAACTTTTCAATGATAAACCAGCTTCTCAAAGATTAGTTATACTTAACAAGAAGAAATTGACAACATGAATCTCACTAACCTAATAATCTCTCACTAAAATTCTATACACCAAATTTTTAAAAAAATTCTCTAAACAGTTTGTTTGCTTGTGTGTACGTGTATGTAAAACACAGAATAAAATTTATGCAAAAATTATTTGTTATAAATCAAAAATTCTCTCTTGCTTTGTTTAATTATTTACATTATTTTTTCTCTTTTTTCAGTCATTTTTAATTTTGGGAGTTGAGTTATGTATGATAAGTCTCAGCTGCAATCTCAATGGTTCCCTACTAGAGCTTCATTTGCATAATTTCATAGTAATATTTGAATAGTGAAGAGAATTGCATCTCACTAATTTAATATTTCAATCACATTTATAAATATAGGAATAAATCCTATGTAATTTTCTAAGTGGATATTGGTATAAGCACAAGTTAAGCAAAATCTTATTTCTTGTAAGCATGTGCAGTATGCAAATCAGCAATGTAGAAAAGAACATTGTCAAACAATAGTCAGCTGATCTTCACTTCTGCTGGTTATGGTGTACAGTGATGGACAGAAGTATTGGCACACAGCTACTTCTTAAGTTTTCTTGTATAAATTTAACAGGAAAAATAATTGTAGCTATGTGAAATTTTCACATAACTAGATATTTATGTGATGAATAACATTTTTATTTAGTGTTATGTATTTTTGGCTTCAAAAGTATTGGTACAGTGATGATAAAACTAATTTGCTTAAACTTCATTTTTTATCTATGCCTAGTATGTGGATATATGAAATTCAACGTTTCTTTTTAAATAACCTTCTCAGGTATGAATAGTATTGTTAATCTAGTTATTACAAAAATTAAATAACAGATGTACTGAAACAACAGAAAAATCTCGATTTGTGTAGTCTTCTGTCTTAAGAAATCATTCAAAAATTGGGAAAATAATTAATTATTTCTTACCTACTCAATTTAACTATTTTTAAATCAAGAATGCCTATCAATAAATGCATAAAAATTGAGAAAAAGGTTTCTCAAGAATGAAGACAAAATCATAATAAATAACCATGATTTTTTTAATGGACAAAATGGCACAAAAATTAACAGAGGTGGAACTCATTGATAGAAGGGCACAATGCTGCAAGCAATACAGAATCAGAATATAGCTGTATATCTCCTAATATTTTATGTGATCAAAACTAATGTTTTAGCACATTATCACTTACTTCCTTTCTGAATTACTGGAAGTAATCAAATGAAACAATGATTAGCATAGTGCTCACTAATCAGGACTTTATTCAGCTTCAGTAGAACTAACAAAACAGGTTCTAAGTCATTCCACAACACCTCCAGATAAAATGAACCACAGCCATTTTGTAATATAAAAGATTTAGAGAGGTTAATTTTTTTTATCTTAGTGAATTTAACTGTGTAGGAAAGCTGTTTATTAACATTATTAAAAAGGTAAAAGCAACAGTTTATTTAAAACTGTATTAAAATAATTTATAAATATGAAAGGCCATTTATAAAGGTAAATTTATGGTAAATTTAATAAAAGGTAATATGTATTATAAAGCAAAATGAAAACACTGCTTTAGAAACAAATTAAACTAAAATTAGAGCTTTACCACAATGTTCTATTGACACCTCAGCATTTTTTTTTCCAAGGGCTTTCTGTTCCTTGTTACCCTCACTGACCTGTTATGAGTATGGGAGAAAAAGACCTTTGTATCCTACCTACCCTGTAGATACTGTTAAGGTTAACTTTTTAAATCATTTATAAAAGTTTATTCACATAGCTTTGCCTTGGATAATGTTTTATAGATGAAAATTTAGTATGTCCAGATAGATTGTGGCAAAAAACCATGACAGTTGTAAAGAAAAATACACCAACTGTCAAAAAATACTTAACAAAATTCTAATAAAGTTATCCAACTCGTATCTATAAATGTTTGTACAGTTGACCCCCTATAATTACGATTCCTATAAAACTACGAAAAAATTGTGACCTNATTTTTATATTTATTTTATAACAACAATTTAAATTTATTTTTAACACTTTATTATTTAACTACAATACATAAGTTTTTTAGTTTTAAGTAGTTGTGATATTAATTTATATCAATAGTTCAAACTTTTCCAGTTCATACATTCCTTTCATAAAAATGGAAAATTTCATGTACTCCTAAACAATATAATATTGGTTTACTAACTTCATAAGGCATAGGAAAGTACTCAATTATTAATTTGCAATGTAATTTGATTTAATAATACTGATGCAAGATTAGTCAATTTAAAATAATTAAATTAAAATAAATAATCCATATTTTTGGATATAAAATCCATAAAAAAGTTAGTTATCAGCTTTTAAAGACTTGGCCTAGAAAATTTTAATTTCCTGGGTAACAATTGAAAAAGCTGATAATTTAAAATTACATTATTTGCAGCCGTTATAGATTTTTTTCTTGTACTTCCTGGAATTGCTTATGCACTCCTTGCTGGGAAATGTTGATTATATAAATCATCATGCAAAAATTATCTATTATAGCATGTTTTCTAATACACTAAATTTAAACTGTTAATCTCTTGTACATGTCAGTCTATAGATAATGAATACACATGCTCTTAAAAAAAGAAAATAGATACAAAATGACAAATCTAGTTATTATAAAATAAAAATGCTTTTACTTAATTAATGGTAGAAATTAATGTATTTTCAATGGCATAATAATATTGAAACAACACATATGTTTATTATGAATAAATGAAATATAATTTTATTTAAAAAAAGATTGTACCTAATATTAACTTTTTGACATTTAATAAATACAATCCTCTAAGTTTAACTAGGCATAAATCCCTTGCTAAAATTGTGCATGTTATTTGTATTAAACATTTACTAAAATCAGCTGACCATATTTTGTTAATAAATTAATTAATTGACAGATAAAATATTATCTCAAACTTAAAGTAATATATTTAACTATAACTAAAACTGTAATATTTATTTTGTTACCAATGCTAAGATTATATTATGAATATAATCTATTAATAAATATTAAATAAACAATTGAGTAAACGGTATAAACATGCAAAAAAGAGAAATTTGATTTATAAGTTAATAATTGCTTGAATAAAGTTAGCCACAATTGTGGAATTTCAAGGGTTAGTATGATGGTATGTTGCACGGTGTTGTAGCAGCAATGTATAGGTTCTCCCTTATGAACAATTCTTTATGATTGTTGAATCATTTGAGTAATTTGGTTTGGGCCCAGAGGAAAAGATAATCTTGGTCAAGCACTTTTTTTTTTTAGCTAATTTCGGTTGATGGTCTATTGTTTCTAATGTCCTCCTGATGTTCTAGGATGCAAGAGCCCAGCATTATAAGCGTGGCCCCTATGTACAGTGGAATCCCGGTTAACAAACTTAATCCGTTCCGCGACTCCATTCGTTAACCGTGTAATTTTTCCCACAGAAATTAATGCAAATGCAATTAATCCATTCTAGTCTCCGAAATTTTTGTGATTTTATTTGTAATATACAGTAATTTTCTTTGATGAAAATGTAAGAAAACGTAGTATGTATCATTACAGCAACAAACATGTAAACTTTGTTTAATAAACTAGCACTGTACATACCTTCGTTTGTTATAGTTGGTTGCAGAAAAGTGGAGATATACGAACCTTAATGCTTAGAAGGGGAATCCCCTCCAAAAAATAACAGGTAGCACTTCATTGGAAGATTCTTCGAGTCAAAGTCTCTTTCGGTAAAAAAAACCCACCAGTGGCTAAGTGGTCTTCGTACCTTGAACATGGGGAGTTCGTTCATGGGTTTGCACCTCGCTCAGAAGGGCTGGCCATGTGGAGTTTTCCGGGTTTTCTCCACGTCTGTAACGCCTAAATAGGGGTCAGTTTCCCTTAAAAACACCTCCCAGAAGGCATTCCCCTAGCAGATCGCCCAAGTTTTGCATTGCCATAACTTAACAAACAAACAAACTCTTTCTGTAAGGAACTAGAAATTGATCTAAAGTTGATTGTCTTACTATTTTAATCAAAATTTTTCTCAAATGTGATAGCGCATTGTCGTTTATATTGCGTTGTCGTTTTCTATTGCCACTATGACTTTTTTCTTTCTTGGATGCCTTATTGATTAAATATATAAATCACAAAACTGAAAAAAGAAGCATAGCACAAACACTTGGAAAAGCAATGCTTAACTCGCGCATGCCTAACATCAACTAAAATTTGACACAAAATACCATTACATTCGTTATCCGAGAGAAATTTTTTGCAAAATAAAAGTTTGTTAACCGATTTGCTCGTTAACCAGGATGTTCGTTAACTGGGGTTCCACTGTAGTTTGTTTCCTCTCCTGAGAGTGCATGTTTTAAAGGGATTTGTTTTATCATTATTCCTATATTAACCACCTGCGCAATTTTTTGTTTTACGTTGGAATTAATTTGAATTTTTAAAGTTTTTGTATTGCTTGTGTTCTATTTTAGCATTCTTTTGTTTGAATTCGATTAACTGAAGAAGGATATTAAAAATAGTCGAAAACGTTATTATTTTATTAAATGATTTATTGCTGGAAATATTAAGATGTTGTTTATATTAGTTGATAAATATAACATAAATATTTATCCAAAAATTGAATTACTGAGTTAAAGTATTTTGTATCTTTGTAATTTCATGATTTCTAGGAAGTAAAAACTGTTTATGCATTTTTATCATAAAATTATGAAACCTATATTATTTTTATATTCTATTAACTTGTAACTATTGGCAAATAAAAGAAAAATAAAAATAATAATAATAATAATAATTTACCAGACGTTCTCCAGAAAGTATTTCCAATAGTTTCAAAAGCATTTTTCCATCTCTTAGATCTGTATATAAATCTGTAATTCGGCAATTTGCTCTCACAAGATGCGAATTTACCCATTTACAAAATGTTTTCTTCTGTACTTTTTCACGTTCATCTAAACATAAAACACAATTTCAATTAAAACATTTAAAACATTTTAAATCAATTATTTTCTTATATAATATAAAGTATAAATTTTAAAGTAGGATTTAAAAATCTATATAAAATTAAAATAGTAACTGTTCTATACTTTAAACTTTATACTTATAAAATATAAACATTTTATAAAAAATTTTAACTCTCAATTTTATATTACCTAAATTTTCAAGATGTACTCTCTGGTCCTTTAAAAATTGTAGAGCTTTATCAACATTTTCAAGGCAGTGAATTCGCATTTTTCCTTTCGTTGGTTTTGGCTGAAATCACAAATTACATTTTAGTGTTATATTTTAGATTAAAAAATTTTAATAACAAATTTAATACTAAATTGTAAAACTTTTAATTCTAGAATTTTGATTTTAAATCAAAATAATAAATATAAAACTATTGAGTATCATTTCATTAACATTTATTTCAATAGTGACTTTATAAGGTACTTTATCGATATTTATGAATATTGTACATTATAAATTTTTAATATTGTAATAGAAAATAAAAAATTAATTTTTGTATTCTTTATTAGAACTTTATAGTGATAGAGATGTACTAGCTTCCTGTGTATTTAAAGCTACATTATACAAATGCGAATATAGACTTTGGACCACCCTTATTAGAACTTTAAAATAATGTAATAGAATGTGTAAATATAAAGTTACATAATAACATTACTCAACTACAACTGGGGAAAAAACTTCTGTTTATTTACCATCCCCATTTTTGAAACTTCTAATTTCTATATTTCTGAAATTTTAACATTATTTCCATTCAATCTTAATAATACTTGTTCCATAATACCTTATTATGTTTATTATACTTTTCAATTGTTAGGATTATCTTGCTTTTCTTTACTTAATCCTCTTAGTTATCATGCTAATGTTTTCTATTCTCTCTACTTAATACTTCAAACTATTTATTTATTTTGTTATTATATTTTCTTCATTTATTATACAGCAGAGTATTGTGCAACACGGGGATAAATTCCATGTTACAGGAAATCACATTATTGAGACATGCATTATCAGGCAATTTTATGTAAGTTTAAACATAGGCCCAGAAGTTGAAGAAAACATTTACCTCTGGATGACAAAATTAGAATTTTGTATGAGTACTAGTCACAATTTTTTTGTCACATTATAGGAGAGTGCATTATATGGTAATTCACTGTATTTTAAAATGTGTATGACCATTTTGGATTTATTAAATATCATTCTAATTATATGCTGACTTAATAAATCCAATATATGAATACTTATATCATTCCAAGTAAGTTTTATAAGTTTATACTTACTTACTGTCAAATTTTTTTTATTTTTTTAAATTTACAATCCATCCTTTTTCCAATTTCTCTGTGGATATTATGAATTGTTTCACCAAATTTTTTAATTAATTTTAATTTTTTCTTTAAATATTCAGATTTAGATAAGTATAGAATTATTTTATTCTATAAACCACACTCATACCCAGCAGAATTAAATAAAAAATAAAAAATAATAAAAAACTTAAACCAACACCTTAATATTCGCTGAGAGATTTTTAATGTAACAAACGTTTTCGATCTATTCGATAGATCATCTTCAGGTTAAAAAGAATATTTCTTAAATGGAACAACAATTTCAAAATTCAAAAAT